CTATGGGACATATAGGAACCTATAGGATTCCTTTAAGTTCCTATAGGATTCCTTTAGGTTCCTATAGGATTCTTATAGGAATATATAGGAATCCTATAAGACATTTTCGTAAGGGGACTCATCAGCATCACTTTCATTGTCAAATAATAACACAACGATTTCATCGCGATCACGACAAACACCAGTATTAGGTCTCTTTGGAGCAGCCATGTTTTGCTGATTGCAAGAATCCATAGCCTCCTCTGAAATATATATCTAATTGGTATTATTTCTGGTCAGATGTGACGAGAAACTGAGCGTAGAGTTACAAAATATCCACTTAGAGGGCTAGCAGACTCTTATTCAAGTTATGCGTAACGTTACGTCGAAAAGTCACCGAATACAAAGAGTGTGTAGCAGCGCGTAATATTACGTCGAAAACAGTTAAGGGGTTAAGATCGGCGTTTAGGCACGGGTGACTTGGCTGCGATTTGTATTGCTTTTAGACTATTTTTAGATTTAAATCAGATGTCTTGATATACAAGGCATTTATAAACTTCGTGGGCGATTGCATGGCATTCTAAAACAAAAGCTATCCCGTGTAGCTCAGAGGAACTTTGGGAATATTACCAGGATGTTAAGGGGAGAACATTGCACCAAAGACATGCATCAAGCGTGGCGCTGCTGTCACGCATGAGCTTGAGAACTTCTCAATTGCACAAGTCTGTGCTCAAATTTGTAGGGCTACAGTGCCAAACACCCGACAATCGACTTCATGACTACCTTTAACATTTAACTGTAAGAACAACTCTGTGGACTGGCCCTGTGGACTCTGTGGCTGTGGACAACTTTGTCAAAGTTAGTTACTAAATAATAGAAGGGACCTAATAGATCACAAGAAGAAGAAAAAATGTCGTTGATGGTAATAGGGGACTTTGATCGAACAGACGATTTCATACTCGTATTTCCCGAACTGCATTGTGAGCACCTGTGACCGCCTATCGTATACTTTACAGACTTTTTCAGCTACGCGGAAACAGCTGAAAACAATAGCGGAGATTGGACCATCAATAATAAGCACCGTTCTCAATATTTCCCCATCCATGACAACTGTTCATCTATTTTGTCGAATATTTATAAAGTGAAATTTGCTCACAAGCATACACATGCTTGTGACTTTCATCAGGAGCGTATTTACCCAACATGGCGTCCCTGGGAAGGACATTTGTTTCATATTGGGGGCTCCCGATGGAGACAGACGAGGGGGGGTTTGTTAAAGGGAGAGTGCTGAGCGAAGGGTTGAAGGAGGACGTGCTGAATAGAGAAGTGAGGGGGGAAGATACTAAAAAGCTTTCATTTAAAGCCCTATTCAAGAATCAGGGGGGCTATCGGCATCCCACTCCCCATCCCCCTTCCCTTCCTTGCATTCCCTTCCCAGGTTGCATCTCTGGGAAAGTGCTCACCCCCGTTCACGATCCTGACTTTCAGTTGTCCAACTTCCCGACGAAAAAACAGCTGAAATGGTCTATTTTTCGTATTTTCTGGATGTTTTGCTTCCACAAAATCTTGTTAACGTAAACTTGTGGAATACCCATGAATGAATTTAGTAAGATGTACTGCGCATTTTTTGTCATTTGGAAACTATTTGCAGCTTGAGCCTATTGCATTTTGCAAATCATAAACAAATCATAAATATTAGTGCTTGGATGATTTGTCTTACTAATAATGAATTTCATTCGAAGAGAAGAATCCTTTCTATCTGCTTCCCCTCAGATCGAACTTGGTTTCATTTCTATTTTAGCTGGGGATGAGAGATCTTTTCAGCCAGAGTGCGGACCTATCAGGTATGACAGGGCAGCGGGACATTCAGGTCTCAGACATTTTCCATAAGGCCTTGGTCGAAATCAACGAAGAAGGCACCATCGCCGCTGCCTCCTCAGGTAGGCTACCTACAATCATTTTTTATATCTCATTCTTTGTGTCTGCTGAAAAAGAAAGTATTCAATGGCATGATGGCTTCCAGGTTTTGCATAGTTTTAAAACTCCCATTCTCTATGTGAACATACTGGAGCACAGGGATAGTAAGTAACAATAAATTTAATTTTAAAAATCATCAATATCCTGTTAACGTCTTGAACTGCCTTCCGCCCGAATGCAAGCGGAAACTGCAGCCGCCACTCCTCAATGCTTACGTTGATGAGCCGCTGAGACAGGTTGTTCCAGCATTGCACTAGACGCACATTCGGATTATCCAGTGGTGGGATCGGAGGTTGGTTGTGATGATAAGCCTTTTCCATCATCGCTGCCCGAATTCTGTCATCGAGTGGATTCTGATCCAGACTGTTAATCGCAGGCCACAAATCAGGCGTGATAAATTCATGCACGGCTCCCCGAAGATATGCCAGCATAGCATGCGAACGATGAACCGGTGTACTGTCCAGTTTAAAAACAGGCTATTCTCCGGATGTGTGCTGAATATTTGGCGAACGTCTCCGTTCCAGCTGAACGTCACGATAGGACTGACATTCCACTTTCGCACCGGGTTACATGAAGTGTAGGGGTATCTTGCCCATCTGGCTGATGTCCACACTCACCATAACGCTAGTGCTGAAACTCGACCTTCTCCGGGAGAGCCTGTTGGCATACCCAGGTCCCTTTTGTGAGCTTCCTGCGGTCCATACAATCATTTTGCGAGATCATCGGTACTGACACCGTAAAAATATTTTCATCCATAAAGCAGATAAATGCAACTCGTGCTGATGGAGATCGGTGAAAGAGGTGAGCGCATCTCTCCCTTTGATTCTGCTTGTTGACGTCATCGAGCTTTTGCCCTTTTCGTTTCTCGGAGCACTCAAGGCGCAAATGCTTGATCATCCAGTTCACAGATGCCACAGAATCCCCTATTGGGCCTGCAATTTCCCGCTGAGGCAAATGATGTGTTCTCGGTTTATCATCTAGGCTGAGGACATATTGTTACGGTGCTACGAGGTTGTAGACCGTTGTGGGGTTCGGGTGGAAATAAGATCAAAAGGGGATTCAGTAAAAATAAAATAAAATCCTGTCTTTCTGTTCCTTACTACAAATACACACAACCAACAATCAACAAGCAGCTCCGGTGCCTCAACACTCGACTTTCGGCAGAGCGAAGTGTTCCGGGGATGGAGAGCGCTTTTTGACGGGCGACGAAGGGTATCAGGCGGGGTCCTCCGAGGTCGGGAAAACCTCAGTCCCTTCCACGACGGTACCGCGAGGGAAACAACGCGTCCTCGTGCCTCGGCCAGCTCTAGGGCGGTATATAACCTGCTCGTCGTCCCGGCCCGCATTCGACTTAGGGGGTTAATTCCTACAGGCGCGGTCGGGCCTGTCTCGGGGAATTACGTCTCCTGGTCGCGGAGCGGATAGGGTCCGTACCTCTCTTCAGGGCTCAGGTCGTGCCTTGATTTCACTATTATACCTCCAGGTTATAGAGGTTTCAAGATGGGAAGGTCGGTGGCGTCGATCAGATAACCCCGAGCTAAGAAAAGCCGCTGAGACTCCCCGATAAACAGAGCTCCTCGTCGCTGGTCGAGAAGAGGGGGAAGAAGCGCACTCCCCAGGTGTTCTCAAGTGGGCAGGCCTCCTAGGGACTGAAGCCATCGTTGACGGAACCTGATGTCTTAAGGCTCCGGACTAGGGCACTTCCACTCCAATCTCCAACTATCAGCCTAGATTCACTAGAGGGTTCCGTGGCTATTTCATTTCGAGTTGGAAATTTAACATTTAGTTTCATGTGCGCCTACTATTCACAATCACCGGGGCTCGAAAGCGACGCATTTAGCGGCGGGAGCTGAAAGAATAGGTCATGGGCCAATCACCCCCCTTTCACCGGGGTCACCGGTTTTTACTCCATTACCGTGACAATATTCAACCACAGCCTCAGCATTCTCAACAACAGTCCTTGGGCACATCCAGATTTTTATGCAGTTGATCCTGCAGCGTCGATTTCTTCAGTAATCGGTGAAAACCACTTACTGTCCACGGCTTCGTGGGAAATTCCCCTTTAAGTCATTCGGCACCATAACCTTTGTGTTGTCGAAGTTATTCGATCAAGGTACAGTCTTCCTTGCCGATTCTTGGCTTTTTGTGATGAGTTCACTTCGCACAGCTCATCAAACAATTTGAAGAAAAAACTCTCACGGATAAGCGTTGGCATGTGACACAGAGACAAAAAAAAGGAATCAGATGCAATTCTTCCACTGCGGCAGACACGCCATCGCTCCCTCCACGTACAGGTGGACGCAACTCAAGCCACCTGATCGGATGCTCGCGCGTACCAAGTGTTGACTTCTGCGCGGCCTTTTTTTCAAGCTGTTTGTGATCGATAAAATTGACGGAGAGAACGTGTCTCACGTAGGTATCATTTGGCACTCCTACAGAGAATTCAATCGCCTTTCCAATGTTATACAATTACCTCTGTAGCACCTGTCGGTTGCTTTCTATTTTACACTATGTAGGGTAAGCACCCGATTTCTGGCCGGTCTCCAGCTGTTGGCCAGTGAGGCTTAAATCCAGCATAATTAGTTAATCTGGCCGTTTTCAGGCATTCTATCAACATATTCCCGTACGAGGACCTATTACTAGTGTTTCCCGGTGTGCGCACAGGGTGTCCACTTCCTATGGGACTCGTATCAACGTGGCCAAAAACTGGGGTGTTTACCCAAGGGGATTCCTTTTTTTCGAACACCGTGTACATCCGCAAGAGATTAGTCGAACGAGACATCGTCGCACATGTGATTTTCTTGCAATGACTTTCCCCCTAAGTGCTATTTCATTAAATAGAAATATTATCAAAATTGAGTATTCTATGAAGGCTTTACTCGTTGAATAGGTTTTGTTCAAGCTTCATTGTCAAATGTGTCATGATAAAACCTGAAACAATGCTCAACAATGCTAACAATGAAGATTTCCTGTTAGATATTGCATCTGGTTAACGTAGATATTAAATTAGTGTCATTTTAAAGCTCTTTTAATGCACTTTTATAGATTTGTGTTGCATGGTATTTGCTTGTATATAAAGGTCGAAAGCTTTTACCTTTAAGAAAATGTCATTTTTCTTTTTGTGCAAAAATTAAACATGACATTCCCAAAATTTTATCTTCGGATACGCCAAATTTAAATTTGGAACTGGCATGGGATCAGTTGGCTAATTGTCTAGCCGATCCGAGGAAAGGGAGAGATGAAGATAGAGGAGGGAGGATACATATATATATTTTTTAATTCTCAGAATTTAGACTGAAAACCGGGGGAATAAAAGAATGAAAGAAAAAAATCTTACTTTCGATCAATTTTCTTACCTCCTTGTGTTCTGGCGGAATTAAAAAGAGTGGCCTGCAAAGCGATTTCGCAAATTCTTGGCTGCTGGTCGCCTTGGACAGGTGGCAGGATAAAACATTTTATTTTAACATTAAGTCTATGGAGTTGGCGATTAAATTGAGCAATGGCCGCAATTTCTAGGGTGTCAGATCCATAAGCAATTGCTTCATTGAAAATAATATACAGGGTGTCCTAGTTAACACTCCAGGATTTTAATGTTTAACCCGACAATCAGAAACCATGACAATCAAATGTTTACCAGATATTGAGTATATGTTCAAGTTTTTTGTTGCCAAAGATCAGTACAGTACTAATGAGGGCTTGAGTGATGACCACCGGACCAGAAATCGGCACTTAATGGCAATTTTCAAATCGCACTACTTAAAAAGTACTAAGTAAAAAGCTCTTGACTTGAAGCTGAAATTTAGTGTGAATTAATTTCTCATTTAACCCTGCAAGTTCACTAAATTTGACAAAAGTCGGAAGGGGTCAGGTCAATTTTTTTTTTTTTTAATTTGATGGGGAATGACTCTTAAGGCTAAGAGTAAGAAATGATATTAAGGACATCAAGGATGATAATGACTTTACTGAGGCTTATAACATAATTATAATTGTGTTGATTGTTTAGGGATAGTGGTGGTCCCGCTGTCCTTGTCGTATCCATCACCGGAGACAATCTTCGTCCGTGCGGATCATCCTTTCATCTTCTTCATCTACGATTTCGAGACATCTCAAGTCTTGTTCATGGGTCGAATCATGGATCCTCGACCGGAGTCATCCGTACCACCATCCCTTTCTAATATGCAATCGTGGCCCCAAACAGGATCATCCTCATTCACATTCCCTCCTAGGAAGCAATCGTGGTCCCAACAAACATCATCCGCATTCACATTCCCTCCTGGGAAGCAATCGTGGTCCCAACTAGGATCAACCGCACTCACGTACCCTTCTATGAATCCATTGCGGACTGAGACAGAGGCAGACGATATCAACAACAGACAACCCTCCCGTTCTCAGTCAGTTCCATTCTCCAGCCATCTATCTTCCAATCCTTCTACAGCCAGAATCTATACGCAATGGTTCGACTCGCCTCAACATAAATGGCCATACATGTACCGTGTGCCTCAAAATCCCCAACTGGTCTTCTTGCGCTCTAGAGTCTATCGCTCTCCATTCACTCCTGTCTTTCAACGACACAAAATGCTGAAACGAAGATACGAAGATCAACCCATTCATCCACAATGACAGAAACTGGTTATTATTTGAAAGTTCACGATATAACAGGTTCTTTTTATTGGCCCTCCTTTCCTGAAAGGAACGAGACCACTTATAGTCCCGTCCTGTCCGTCCATGTGTCAGTGTGTCCGTGTGTCACACTTTGGTTGTCCGACGATAACTAAAAAATATTGGTCTGATCAATGCGAAAATTGGTAAGCGAGTAGATATGAACAATATACAGGCTGAGTTCGTTTTGTGGTGAATTTGCACCAAAATTGGCATTTTTATTGCAATTTTTGGATTTTTAATTTGCTAACGGAGGGGAAGCCATGAGTACCAATGAGCCCTTCAGGATGTAGATCACAATGAGCACAATGATCACAATGACCCAGGCTTCGAGCGCGACGCCGTGTCAGTAACCAGAGCTGTCAGTACCCTACCAACCTTCGTGGCGGATGGATCCATCCATGCCCAGCCCTCCATCCTCCCATCATCGTTTCATGGGCGCCGTTTGTCTATTTTTTACCGAATATAAATGAGTAATTCGGTTTTTAATGGTCGAAGACCGGAAAGAGCGAAGCTCTTAAAGCATTTAAAAGCGAATAATGTTTTTACGATCTTAGCATCTGAGACATGAGGAAGAGACAGACTTCAATAGCATCAGTTCCCTTTGCTTCTTCCCTGGAAAATTTTCAATATTGTGCCACTGTTGAGTACATGGCTGTCTAGCCGTGCTGAGATGACGTCTCCGTCTCTTCTCTAATTTGATAGAGGTCGATCGGTTGGGATGATGGAGTCAGGTCGTATGCATCACGTCGCACATCGCTTTTTGGTGAAACGCTGGTTGACCCGGTTTACGAATGCGGGCAGTCATGAACGACAACAGCGCTTGGGCTGCTTACGCATCGCAACGATCTTGGTGAATCAATACCCGAGGATGCAATTCCTCATGATTGCTGCCTGAAACCTGGCCTACCAACGCTGCACAGGGGGTCACATGCACGAATTCACGCAACAGCGATGCGCGAGTTGATGCATGTTAGACCTGCCTACATCATCCCAGCCAACAGTCATCGAACGGTTGATCAAGTTAACGAAAACGCCTTCTGAAACATCGTCTGTGCCGGCACTAAGCAAGTATTGGTATTGCTGAAAAGTACTTGAGCGAAGCAATTCATTAATGAATGGAAAATTTGAAACGTTTTCACTTGTCTCAGCAAACGGGCGCCTGCAACTGAACACGTACTGAAAATAGCCAAGAGAGCTTGAAAGAAACAGTAAAATCCATTCTTCTTTCGAGAGAGGACTGATATACGAGTATACACACGACAATGGGAAGAGAGCGAGCTTTCCCATATCCATCCATCCTTGCAACGTTGAATCATCCCTCTCCCATAAATAGTTCCCAAAGGGGAAATTATGTGTTCCATTCATGCTGTAGGACGTGTAGGCTTTTCCCTGTATCGCTGCACCTTTTCGGTTTCCCATTCCGGCTATCGTTTTTTCAGCAACCCATTTTCTTTTAACGAGCATTAAATGCACCATAATACTGTATAAGAATAATATCCTATGTAATTTAAGAAATGACATGGAGAAAGCAAGACAGCGATTCGAAATGTGAAATGACACGCATCTCTTTGAAGTTGGGGAGATAAGCACTTGTTCAAGAATTCAGGTAGGTCTAACGCAGAAAACAACTGCAGTCATTTACCAAGTAGAGCAAGAATCTATGAGATAACCTCTTCAAAAGCAAAGACAAAAGATTTAGGAATTAAAAAGTCGCTGCGAAATATCAATGAGGAAATAACATGCAGACATAGGAACACGTCTGAGGGGGTTTTGGTTATCATCTTAACTGTCACCCCCACCCTTAACCCTATTTTGTTGCCGTTCGCCCTTCCAGCTCAGCTAATTTCTTGTTAATCTGGGTGGAACTAACGGGCTCCGGATACCTCTCCCCCCAATTCGACGCTTCAGCCCTCATTCCCTCCCCATTTGAAAATCATAGAGGTATCACTGACGTTGTGCTTTGCCATCCAAGAACTTAAGCGATTCGCACTCCCACCAAAACGCATTTTTCATGTACTCAAACTAGAGAATATCATACAGAATAGCCAAAAAAAAAAAACTTGTGAAGGTTTGCTTCACTTCGCTGCACAGTTTCTCGAGAGCTAACTAAAATCGTTGCGGCGTCTTCCTATAATAAATGTATTCAGCTTCGTACTGGTGTCAATGGAATTATGATCTATGCCATTGTTTTCAAACTGTTGCGTCGAAGGTAGTGCTTGAAAAGTGTTCTTAGTAGTACCCTTTAAGAGCTGCACAGAAGACATCCATGCATTCACTTTCATCTTGTCAGAATGTTGCACACAGCTTTTGTGGCAGTTTAAGGTCTAGACTTCGGACCTAGACGAAGGATTTCTTCCTAGTATTGCCTCAAAAGGCAGCATCCCTTCTTATAAAATGTGAATAAAAGGGAAAGTGGCATTCATCTGATCACAAGACGCCCAAACAGCATGTTTCTGTAAATTTTACGTAAAATGAATGCAACTTTTTTGTCCATTTATATCATTTTTACGCAAACCATTGTCAAGAAAATGTCAACATGTTTGCAGAAATGTCACCTCTGTGCTACGTAAACGGTGATTTAAAATTAACGTCAATTTTACGTAAAATTGACATTCCCGTTTGCATTCCAAACAGCATGTTTAAATTCATTTTATGTAAGATTTATGTTAATTTCCCCCTGGCATTCATGCGTATTTAAAGAGCCAATCAGTACCATTTTATATACAATTCATATACTGAATCTCCTGTTCCTTTACGTTCTTCAGAACTCTAAGTTGGTTAGACGAGTACACATCCTCACCAGCACTCAAGAGTACCAAAGTGACCTACTGTTTCCTCCTACCTTACTAGATGAGTAGATGTTCAAAGGAGCTCTTTTCCTTTTAAGATAAAGAAGATGTAGTACTTATTGGGCTGGGATTCTACTCTTCCCTAATCCCGTGCACTGCTGTAATAAAAAGCTTAACCTCAGCATTTAATGATTACCTGAGTCATATATTATAAATATATATATAATAATTTCATGTTTTCCATATGTATATTCATGGATTGCATAATAAAAAGTAGAAGGATGCTAAGAAAACCTGATACTATATCAGGAAAACCAGTACTTAATAGTAATTGTAGGATGCAGGGAACAAGGGTTCTATCTAGTGAGGAATCTTGGTACTGCAGCAGCAAGATGATCAGCTAAAGTTTCATATGGATGGTGTGGTGTTAATTTTTCATAAACTTGATATCATGTACTTCACGTCAGATGGAGTGACGTCTAGTTGATGTAAAATACACGTGCACTTTGGTGACATAAATATAGGAACGTAAATTTTACGTTAACGTGATGTCATTTTCATGGCAATCGCAAGAAATTTACATTGTTTGCAAAAAATTGATATCTTGTTTACGTGAACATGCTGCTTGGGCGCTATTCAAAAACTCTCGATCACCAGGAGCTTTGTCATATGAAGATTCTGAAGAGAGAACTCGTTGTTGATCGACATCAATTTCTGATGCACGGAGACCTTGTAAGGGAACAATCCAGTTGTTCGTGCATAATTCGTCGGCAGGACGTTTTGGGTATTCCGGTTCGATTGAAAATTGCGATGGCAAAGGTTTGGAAGCATGTGAAACGGTATCGCTAATTTATTCAGTTTTTAAGCCTACTACATTGAGCTTGAATTGAGAAAACTCTAGGAGACCCCTTGTGTTTAACTTTTGCATACTTCTCGAATACCTTCAGAAAATCAGAGATGGCGATTACGTGGCGGTTCTATGGCAAACGAGTCACGGAAGCGCTGCTGCAGATCTTCCACACCAAAACGACAAAGCCAAAAGCTTTTCATCTTTGGACATGAAAGCCCATTCAACCGCAAAAACTTTTTCTTATTTTTCTTTTCGAGACATGTTGCTCGCAACAATATCCTTACGTGCGTTGTTCTACCTAATTCAGGCGAGTTACACTCACACTGCGATTATTCAATGAATTCCGGACGAACTTGCGACGTCTTGCAGACATCAAGCAGACATCGCGGTACAGCAGCTTCTTTTCAAGTACATCCTCCGATAAACTTCATGCAACTGCACGAAAACTATGCCATGGATCTGAAATCTGTTGACATCAGTGAAAAGGTGAATGAACCTTCGATAGAGAGACGCTATTACGATTTTAGCTAACTCGAGAAACTGCGCAGTGAGGTGTTACGGATCTCCCACGTCTGAGTCTTTGACAGCTTTATGACGAGTCTGGCAAGATGATAAGAGAGACTAATTCGTGTCATCCTTGATGTCCTTCAACGCTCTGCACTCCGGTGATGTTACTTAGCAAGTTTTCGCGGGAGTTTCTTCCGTACGCGTAAGAGCCCCAACTCACTCTTTCCCAATACCTCCAATGTTCTCGGCCAACATTCAGATCAGGGGAGTTTCTTTGCCATCTGTAATTTTTTAAAAGAAAATTCATCCCTGAGTCTTTCAGCATTTGCGGTGCGGACAAAGCATCGAAACATAGGGCTTTATTGTGCAGGCGATTCACGTCTGGAACTGAGAGGATATTTCATCCTAGAAAATAAGTCAAGTGATCTTGCCACCTTGCTCTTTGGTGACCCAAGTCATTTTTTGATTGTGAGGTATAGAAACACTCCAAGGCGCATATGATGAATCATCGCTTGACGAGAGTGTTCATCTTCAGAGACATCCTCGATGCTTCGAGACCACACAGGATCACTTTGACGACTTGATCGGCGACTTACTCAGATTAAATAAGAACCTCATCAGTTTGCAGGTGCAAAAAAGCCTTCCTCTTCCTATTCTGATGAGAAATCCCAAAACCACAACCCGTTCCCCTTGTAGACACGATTTCATTGAAGGGGAACAAGGCGAAATAGAGGTAGAGGTGAGACAAATCCATGTCAAGTGAATTTTAGTTTGGTTTCGATTTGCGTTTGAAAATTTATGAAGCAATCAAGTTCGTATTCTGATCGGGTTTACTCGAATTAAGCAAATCCCGGGCAAGACTCCAGGCATTTCTTGCGCTATGCATGGAGAGAGATGGGTTCCCCTTGCCAGGTAAGTCACGAGGCAAACCTCTGCTACTGCCTCGCGTCGCCCGTGACAATGAAGAGCACAATCTGTTGGTCGGGTTCTCATTTCCATTTTGAATAAACGACAAGTTCTAATACTTGCTTATTCTTCAATTATAGCAAAATTCTGTTTGTTGGGGGCCAGTATCTGGGGATGTCGATGGAGCTTCATTCAGTTACTGGCCACCAGGCCAAAAACTGGCTGCGAATGAGGTTTTTCAAGGTCCCAGATGTTGGTCATACTTATATTAGTGTGATGGGGTAGTACGTGCCCTTGATACATCCTTGAATCGAATTCACTTCCTCCCCCCCCCCCCCCCTTCCGCTGTCTTCCGTCCCAAATTCCGCCTAGCAGGCGATTTAAAAAGGCTTTCGATTCGGGGTCATTATTCGCCACTTCACTTAGGCCAATCCATATGTTCGTCTCCCTCGAGACATTGCCGAGTCTGTGCTAGATGGTTGGGGGATCGCTCATTCAAGAAACGGCTGGATGAGGGTATATATCTTCTTGTTTTCCCTTTTTTTGTTAAGAAGATTCATATTTCATTTTTAAAATGCTTGGGGCCAATAGCTGAATCCAAACTGGTCAAACACTGTGTAAAGTGGCCAAGAAATGGGTTTTCGTCACATTATTGCAATTCTGTTCATGTTCTTCATGTGCTTCAGGAATGAAGGGAAATGAATATCACCAGAGTATATGCATCTCGTTTCACTATTACTGAAACTAAAAGAATCGTCGCCCCGGTTTGCCTCAAGCCCAGAAGAGCCATTGCAAGTTCTGTGATGGGCTTAAGTGGCCAAAAACTAGGGTGTTTACCCTACCCCATTGAAAACCATGCGCAAAATGAAAGATTTGTTCAATGAAACTTTATCCCAGAAGTAGTCTGGACACCACAATCGTTTTTTCTCTTTCCTCTACCCCCACCCCTTAGCTATTATATAATTATACGTCCTAGTCCAGGAATGTGCAACAGTGAGCAACCCGCGGCCCGCATGTAGCCAATCTGCTTTTAGTGGCCCGGTAATGGGTTAATGGGATAACGGATAAAATCAGTGGCGCAACCAGCCCTAAAGTTTGGGGGGGGGGGGGAGTTCTCAGTTCTCAGTTCTCATGACCTGTCTTTCAAATGTCTCCGAAGGCAAATCATCAGGAGAGATATACACTCAACCCTCGATATACCGCCACTCTCGCATACTGCTAACTCTTTCCTGAGAGCGAATCTTCCCCATAGGCTTACCAGTGGCGCTCTCCCGTTATAGCGCCACCCTCTCTTGCCGCCACCTGCCAACACCTTTATACTTGCACGAATATGTTTTATTTTATTCTAAGTCTTACTCGATATTACGCCAAGCAGCATACTTCACCAGCCACAATTATTATACCATGTACAAAATGTAATGCTGCCAGTTGCTTCTTTCGGTTGCGTGATACATATCAAGATCTTAAGGAATGACTTAGCGTTAGAATAGGCCTTCAGAGATTAAAGAGGGGCGTAGAGAGTCGCATAATCAGTGGCGTAGCCAGGTTTTCGTCAATGGGGGGGGCTAAGCGGAAAGTTGGGGAGGCTAATTGGGGGCTAAGCGGAACGTTGGGGGGAGCTAACTTCGCCTTGTCAGGTTGGGGCGGACGCATTTCAACCAGAGTTGGGGGGGCTTGAACCAAACTTGGGGGGCTGAAGCCCCCCCCAGCCCCCCCCTCGCTACGCCGCTGCGCATAATCCGGCCTAATCCTGTCTCTTCTTTTGGAGAATGGAAACGTCTAATTATGATTAAACGCAGCTTCTCCAGATGACAGTTCAAGTTAGTTCACTATCTTCTGATGGGGAAATGGACGATTTTAAATTTGAAGGAAAAATTGGAAATGTGCTGCTAGAAGAAGGCGAATGTGGTCGAAAATCAACAAAACTTTGCGAACAATTTTTCAGTGTTTTGGGACAATAATGCGAGCAGAAGGTGCATAGGAGTTATTCTAATTAAAAATAAGAAGTCATTGCCCGTACGCAAGGACCTATTACATGGAAGCTATCATGATAGGTATCGTGATAGATCTATAATTTGCTAGGTTCCGTATGCAAGAACAATTTATAGGTATCCATCGTGAGGCCTATTTTGATAGGTATTCGTGAATTTTTCTGATGACAACCTCCTATCCATCGTCTTGTGCCCAGGAATAATGGCATGTGTATCTGCTCACATGACTGACCAGAGTGTTGGGTGATGATTTCATGATATTAATCTGACCCCGTTTACCAGACTAATGATTAAATTCTGATTCCGTAACTGCGCTCGGCACAAGTTGTGACAGTTCGCATAATTAATCGGGTTAGCAAAATGCACTACAATCCACCCTGGTTGCTCAGTATAAGCAGAATAAACAAGCTCTGGATTGGATTGAATGGATAGATTGAAGCGATTTTTATACCTGTCATGATACCCTATCATGATAGGTATGAAATGTTTCTGCATATGGCCAACCTATCAAACTTATCATTTGATGCCCCCAAAATAACTATTTTATCAGTTTTATACGTTCTTGCATACCAGCCAGAGCTTCTGTGAGAGGCCAGGGTGGATGTATCCAGGTTTCATCTGGTCATCGCTCAACTTTTTAGATCTGCACTCTACTGGTATAAAGATTCAATTATGTCCAAAGAAAGGAGATTAGCAAATGAATTCCTTTCCAGCTCAACTGATTTCTAGCAGGAAATCGTGGGTAGTATGGCGGTTAAATTTCATGAATTATGTTCGCAGCCCTGCATGCTTGCTCTTGGCGGGCATCATGGTGGGTATGGTCACTCACAGGTCAAGCAATTGCGAGCAAGACGACCCTCCTTGCGTACAAAAACCTAGGTTAAGTCTCTACAGACCGTATTTAAGTACATGCATAAAGGTGGGCTAATGGTAACACCATTATGGTGAGAGAGCAGACGCACGTACTACCTCATTCTCCCCAATATCTTGCGTGCATAGTGGTGCAGCCATAGGCCAAGGCTTTGATAGAATAGTTGGAGATCCCTTGATTCCTGCCAAGGATGCCTTGGAAGGACCAGGGCTCGACGCCCTAGAAGTTAGAGCTTGTATTATAGTGAGTATAGCTAGCGAAGGCATAGAATTACGTTTTGAGCATACGTTGGGTCTAGGCCTACGATGCCCAAAGGTCATGTGCTTGCCTACGGCACATCGAGTCTGTAGCACTCTTAGGTGTGCAGATGGGAGTGCGACAGGAACTCACTTTCCACTGCCAATTCTCAGGCTGGATGCACACTATTGGGATGTCAGGATCTCCGAATGATTGAGTGGCACTCACTAGCCCATTGTGAATGTGAATGTGTATGTGTATATGGAAAGTTTAGGGCTCTCATGATGCAATCACTAAGACATATTGATGTAATCTGTAGTTTCATCAGGAATTACTAATGCATGTTCTTGCTGGCTGACTTATGTCTCACATGTCTGGCCATCCATATTCCAGTATTCCTCTGAATTGCCTGTTAAATGAACTTCAAAAAAGGTATGAGGGGAATAGAATTGTTTTAATTCTTCTCAATCTAGTCAAATATGACCCTCTTTAGTACTTATTTCTCCCCATTCACCAATGCTGGTTTCTGGTCTCTCATGTATGTAAACCACTTTTTAAAGGGTCCAATGAAGTGAGAAAAGAGTTTCTGAGTACCGCCCTACTTAGTTGGGTACTTGGAAACTCTTTTTCTCAAATATTTTACTGGACTCTTTAAAAAGGGCTTCATTTACAGTATATGGGTTTCTGACCTTTCCCTGTATGGGGCCATGGAGCAGCACAGAATAGATGGATTGTGCAGGCCTTTGCACTTGGTTCAACTTTCTCTTCAGTGGCTATTCCTGATCTACCTTCTCCCATAACTATAGTTTATAAGAATGATTATATATTTTGCAAATGCACAATTGAAGGTTTAGATCAATGCATTGATGTTTTCAAAGGTGAAACAAATTTTGCTATCTCTAGAGCAATCTCTAGGGATTGCCCTAATTTTCTTGGCATATTAGGTTGACTACAAAAACAGATTGAATTAGTTGTTGGTGCTCTTCATTGGTTGTTGAAACTAACACTGGTGTCATATAAAATACTATTGCATGCCATTGCCTTCCAGACACCTGATATTTTATTGAGTCTGGCTTACTTCACTCACTTTACCCCCAAAAAATGCAGGGGAGAGAGAAACGTAACACTTGAACCTAGATGGACTACATTGGGGAATGACTGGCATTGTGGTCAGAGTGCAATGTGCTCTCAGTGGTCTTATACAACTGATTGTTCTGCAGGGAATCATCTTAATTCTAAAACTACTGGGGCAGTCATTTTCACTGCTTGCTGTTTTTAAATACACTTTACTCTGCTTGTTCAGCAACTAAGGGCCTCTGTAGTTTTTACTTCTCCTATAAAATATTGACATTTTGAACATACCAAATAAACACAAAACCTAAATAAAAACAATAAATGAAGTACAGACTTCTAAAAATAGCCTGCCCATGATAGAGCCCTTGTCAAAGTGTAGTCTTGAGTCACATCAGGCTAGAAGCCCTTATCACTAAATGCAACACCCTTGATCCACAAAAGTGATCTAAGAGTCATGGACGGAGCCTTCGAAAGTCATCGGACGCTGGTTCAAACCCCACCACCACACCTCTATTAGGTGCCTCGAGAGAAGCTGCCAAGAGGTACTTCTCATGTTACGCAGGACCTTAAGCTTCAGCTCGGACCACAGCTTCTCGATGAGCTTCTTCGATCTATTAAATTGGCTACACACATTTGTCTAAACTTAGGACACTTTGTTCGCCACTGAGGCAGGTTTGTCGAGCCACACCACACATACAGCTCTATTCATATGCTCACAGTAAAAGGTGAAAGGCAAAGCAAAAGGGGTTATAGTATATATAGTATGTGTCCACATGTGGTTTATTGTCAACTTTGGCTTGACCTTCTCTCAGGAGTTCATGTAGGGAAATGGTGAACTCGGGGCATTGCCAGGGGCTTGGCACCTGATGATGCCCCCTGGCTGATTAGCCTCATCCTTACCATCCCCCCCTGGCGTAATTCAGCAGTCTTAATATTGAGATTTCTCTTCCTGAAGTCCTGTGTATGCCCCTGAGAGGTGGTCATGCCAAAGTAATGTAAAAACAGTAATTCTTAAGTGGACACGTACTATACCACAGTATTACCGGGAAAGGGTGGGCAAACGACAAATTGAGGGGTGAGATCACATGCGACACGCCATGTAGTAAGCTGTAGGTCATGACTGTGCGTAGGTCACACCTGACATGATTACCAGTTTTATACTACTTTTAGTACAGTAGTCAAATTGACCACTCTGGTAGTTGTAGTGTTGAGTATAGGTCTAACATAACATTTCAAGATCTTTTAAGAAGTGAAGCTTCATCTGCTCTGATTCAATGAAGGTGTAATGATTATTTTTGACAACACTTGGCCAATGTCCAGTCCAATTCAGGAGAGCTTAGTCAGAGTGATTGCAAATGGACAAAAGTGGAAGTTGAGTTCTTATCCAGTATGAAGGAATCTCTGGGGGATTATGTAGATTCAGAATTACTCAAATGTATAAAAAAAAGAGCATTGTGATGTAATGTTAACACTCTTACTGCTAAATTATTTCGATGTACAACTAGTGTGTTAATACAAAAGAAGGGTGATGTTCTTTGCCAGATGTTCAGGGCATTGATAGTGTCCCTTTAGAGCAGCTGTTCTCAATTGGTTGGCTGTGCAGGTGTTGTGGGTGGGCCATGACAAGTATCCCAAAATCTAAAAATTGGAATTAACAGTTAAAGAAACAAAAGTTATATAGCTTTTAGGTGTGTAGTGGGCTGCAGATCACTTTACAATTGTTAAGGTAGGCTTCAGGATCAAAAAGGTTGAGAACCACTGCTCTAGAGGACATCAACTCGTTTTTCAAAATTTATCAAATAGGAATTCACTCATTCAGGTATAGTTTTGATGACATCAATGTCTGGAATGAAGCCCTTTTCTTAGGTTTTTAAAAAATGATGTGCAATAATCAGGAATCCATATGTGGTGCTTTTTGTCTTCTCAGGGTTAGCTGCAAAGAAAGTCAGATCTCTAGTGCTTCATGTCAGTAGGAATCACATTTTCCCCTTCTGTCATGGTTACCCCAGGGTTTGGGGCTTGTGATAGCTGTGACCTCATCTGTGAAGTATAATTTATACTAGTAAGTTTGATATTGGGCTTGGATGTTGAGGTTTGAATACCTTTTCACCAGGCAAGACATATGAATATAATATTAGAAGCTGTGTGGGAGATGATTTAAGTTGATATTGCAGAAACACTACTACACTTACCTTTGATGACCTTATGCTTCAGTTTTTAGTTGCAAAAATGTAATTAGAAATCAAATAAATGCTTCAGATCTAAAGCTAACTTAAACTTTCCCCAGTGGTTAAAGCCTACCCCTAGCCCCCTTTGCCATTGTAGATGAGGTAGCTCTGGGGTCCTCCCCCCATCTCTTCACCTCCTGCATGATAGCCATCATGGCTTCTAGTGCATCCTAGAACCCACTGACAGAAATATAATTTCAGTAAAGCTATCATCAGTCTTCTTTTTTTGTATGGATGATGAATGATATAGTGCTTCTTGTATTGTTTCTTTGTATTCTTGAAGATATATTGCTCATTTTCAATTAGTGGGCCTCTCAGAATGGCCTGCATTGGAGGTCCTGCCAAGGAGAAAGAAATGGCTCGGAGTAGAGGAGCCAGAATTCCTGAACGTAGTGACCGAAATCTATGGCCTCAATTTGAAAACACTATGACTGGTGGTGTAAATAGTCAGTTGCAAGTCCGAGAGAGTTCTCCTTTTGTGAATCCTTTTAGAGGCCCTTTGTTTGAATCAACACATTTGGGGGAGGCCTATAGAGAACCTATTCTTCGTGTCATCCTCCGAGTTCGTCCTCTCCTCAACAAAGAGACAGATGTTGGCTTGGGACCTGATGGTCAAAAGGCAAGTCTATATTACATTTTTCCATTTTTCTTTAGGCTTGACTGTCCATTCTGTCCCTATTTTTCTAGGTGAGTAGTTCACAAGTTTTATTTATGTTACTCAATATATATTTTATGAGTGCCAAGGAACCAGCAGTCATTTTCTGCCCAGGTTTTTCCTAATGATTTGTAGCACCAACTTTAATTGAACGAGGAAGTGCAGTGGTGGCTTTCCACAAGCATGAGTACTTAAGGATGTTTGGTCCCCCAGGAATTCTTGTGGAATTTCTTTAGTCAAGCTAAGTCAAGTTTGGCTAGCTTTTCATAATGCTGAAAATTGCATCTCCAGTGTTGGAATTGTTTGTCTTCTTTTGGAAGTGTGGAAGAAGAGAGGTAATGATCTTGGCCAAGAAATGCATTTTGAATTTTTGTGTAATGCTTTCAATGCACCATCAATTGCATGCATGTGATTTAGGAACATTGAATTGCTAAAGAAGCCTTAATCCTTGGCAATTCAATTTTATCCCAGGGAGTATACCCATCAACTCCAATTTATTTTCAGCACAAATAAAGAGCTTACATTGCTCTACGAAATTGGCAAAATATAATTGCATTCTTGTGCCATCTGTAGACAATCACTGAATTACTCCAAGCTTCACTAGCCATTGTTTAGAGCTTGCTTTAAGAGCTTCCATATAGCAGCTTCCAGCTAGCAGGAATACAGATGTGTGAAATTTATGTTGGAGGACATCTGACATTGGAGTGGAAAAGTTGCATGTTGGCTCTGGTATGACAGAAGATCTCAAATGGTTAAGTCATTTCACATTTTGGTTTAACTGCCATTTACAGGAGAAGTAGAAACTCAAGGAAGTGCTTGTGGGTAAAGGGCACTGACCCAAATGGTACCAAAGCCTTGCCTCTGAGTGGAGTATCTGAGCAAATGCTGGGCATGTTTCTTTGCACACTGCAGCATCTCCCTTATGACAAAGATTCATATGAACTTCCTTCTTGGCTGCCTTGATATGTATATGCTGACATCTCTTGTCCTTTGAGTTGCTACTATGTCTTCCAGCTGAGCTAGGAGATGCACCCACAAAGAACAAGTATAAGAGTAAGAACAGCATAGATCATAGTTGAGCTACTAGCCCATCTCATATTCACCAGGAGCAGCACAAGGAAAGCTAGACTGCCTAAAAGGATGTGGTTGCTTTGTTGCCATCTGCTTTGTTGCCATCCTCTTTCTCCCAGTCCAAAAAGGAAAAAGTTTCTTTTGTATAATACCTTGTTTGATGTTTTACCTTCCTTTGAGAAAAAATGAAAGAATATCCATCACTCACTATAAATGTTAGCACTAGGCATTCTCCAGGTGTCCTGATATTTGTTGTTGGGAGGTCAGATTTTGTACCAGGTGTATATATCAGATTTATCTAATATCAGCAGACTGATAATATTTGAAGAAAAAAATTGTCACTTCAAAAAGTATATTTTGAGGCCTCTACTTTTATGCCTGGACCATCTTGCCCCCATAAAATGGTATAATCACTAAGAGGTAGGTTGGTTGTCACAAAACTTTGAGATATTATCTTTTGGGAGAACCAGTTCACTGCTCACCAAATGGGTTGGTAAATTGGTTTACTGTTTTGAGATTGGTGCCATATTGAACTTTTCTTTCAACATGGAAAAATTTTGTTATACTGAAACCACCCTTTATATATTGTATATGAACCATACTTGTAATCACAATTTATTTATACTCATATGACATCATGTTTGCTCAGTACATGGTTCCACATATGCACTTAAAGTGATGATTATGATGAATACTGCACATATTGCCACGCATACTCATGGATATTGCTAGCCATTGCCTTATGCATGCTAGCATGCATCGATGATCATGTTATGTACGAATAGATTTTGTCAGCTGTTTCCCCTTCATAGGTCATACACATATGATGTTGAATCCATTTCCTCATGCTATGGCCACAGGCATGGTCATGAATAGGTCCACAAAATTCAACAAAATGCCTCTATTATCCTGTCCTGAGTTTAGTATTGACAACTATGAAAGGAAAAATCCAATGAATGCCATTTTTGTTTGAGTTTTTGTTTTAAATTTCAGATTTCTCAGAGGGAAAGGCAATGGAAATCTTTCTATGTTACATCTCTTTATGTAAGATTAAGGCAGGCTAAGAGGATTTTGTTTCTTTAATCATGCAAAAGAGATTCACTTTCATTAATCCTACATGCCTGCAGAGTTCTGCAAGTGATGCTTATGTGAAATTCTAACCATTCTTCACATGAATGCATTCTAGTTACCCTTTAGTAACCAATCATTGAGCAAGTAATGATCAGTCTGTGAAGTCAGTATTGACATTCCTCATTTTCCTTCAGCCACTTATGATCGATGACCAGTCTCTGATTATTATCTTTCAGGTTAAATGTCTCAGGGTGGAAGGTGATCACATTGTTGAAGTAGCTCCAGTTGATTCTGCAACTTATAAGCAGATTCTCAACCGACAGGGAAACAGAAATGCTCATGTGCTTCAAGAAACTCGGTCTGTTTATGATTTCCTTGTTCTAAAGTACAAATTTTACCATGAAATGTAGACATGAAGAGATCATGCAAAAGAGCATTCTTTTGAGCAAGATGAAGACCAATATAGGAGGCTACTGTGACTTTGCCTTGATACCCATATACAGTACTGCCAGAAAGTTTGAGGCAGGTGGAGAATTTCGTAAGTCTTCAAAAAAATTTTAAATAACAAGCAAAAAATAATTTTGCCTAATAAAAACCATGATTAATAATTTACATTTCATCTGAAAAAAGAGCATTACATTTTCTTGGTCTTTTTTTTAATTAAAAAGAATCATTTTTGCAACCTGCCTCAAACTTTCTGGTGGTACTGTATACCAAGATGTTAATGTAAAATGTGAAATATGAAGAAATGACCCTCTATTTCTGTTCTTGAAGTTAATCACTATGAGTAAGTCATGATCACTCAGCATTATCAATCGTGAGTTCTTGAAAGTTTACAGGGATGATTAAACTTATCCAACGCTGCCTCTTGGAGTCATACACAATTGGGATGTTCTATAGTTATATGGATTCTCATGATTAATTTATATTTGGAATAAGGAGTGCAAGGGGTGGATCTCATCCTGCATGCAGATTGAATAGGCAACAAGAAAGGTAAACAAAGGAGCATAAATGATTTAGTGAAATGGGAAATTCAAATGCTCTCTCTGCCCACACCAGCTTCCATGCAGCTTTCCAACTTTCACAAGATTCTTTTTGGCTCTTTAGGACACCCAAATTCAGTTGGAGAAATCATTAAAAAGAGTATTTGTTCTGGCTCAACAAGGACATATCAACAATTCCAATGTGTTCTGTGCTTCAAGTAAAGGCCTTTTTTTTGGTACAGAGCTCCAACCTTCATGTAATTGAAGTGTGCTTTGGACTTTGATGTTAACTAGAGTTGAAATTATATTTAATTGGCATCAAACACCAGCTGATCTGGTATTCCTTTGTCTTGTGCACTCTGTCAAATCCTGTGAACACTGCACATGAACCTCATCTTCGTTGTGTGCGCACTATTTCCCGATGAGGACTGAACCTCCACTCCCACGTTTAACGCAGAACACACTGCCCTACGTAATGGCAAGCCAGATGAACGCCCTGTAGACCTTGTTGCCTGCGTGTAGAAGAGATATGATTGCCTTTTCCCTTTCAATCAGTATCAGTATGTGTCAGATGTATGTAAACTTCAACTTCAGTATACCTGAACATCTAGCCCTTTGTTAGGCTGCACAAATTTCACTTTTCACTGCCACTCCCTACTCACATTCTCACACTCACAAATCACTTGACTCCATTGGTAGCTGTTGAACTCTTGTGACTAAGGAAAATCTGTTCCCACAGCCAGAAGGAGTTTACTGGTTTTGTGTATAGGGTGACATTCCCCTCACCCCTATCACTTCCCTTGTACAATCACCTTCATCTCATCTGAGATTGGAAAGGTGATATGTGATACTTGCCTATATAAGCTTAACCCCTTAAATGGACTCGCCGCATATGTGCGGTCTGGCACCTGCCTTCTCTCAATGGAATCACCGCACATATGCGTTCAAAAGTTCCCAGTTAAGGGGTTAAGCATGTTCATGCAGTGTCAGAAGCGGGATTTTCATTGTTCTGATTCACCAAAGAGTGGCAGTCCATGATCTGGATGTGGCCACTCTTATCTACTCACCTTTGGGATGATATTTCCGCCATTCAGTGCGGCGGAACTGAGCACTGTTCTGGTTGGAAAACTTCCTCAAAGAGAGCCCTCCAGAGAGCTAAGATTCAGCATGTCTACATGTACCTGCTCGCCATTACGTTCGGCAGTGCAGTCTGCATGGGAGTCAGGGAGAATAGCACTCACTAAAGTGATGTTCATAGGTTGTAGCATGCACATGTATGACACCCACAACTGACTGACATGACCTCTAGCAGTGTGCATGATTGATGTGCATGGTATGAAACAAGGTGTGCACAAGATGAAGTTTGTGCAACCTAGGTGTGCACAAGACAAAGGACATTTTCTTGACTTGACTTGATTGACAATTTCTGTCCCTTCTGTTTCCCACAGATACACCTTTTCCCAGATTTTCGGTCCTGAGACTGCTCAAGAAGATGTGTTTCAAGATGTCATAACACATGGTTTCCCAGATATCACTTCAAGCAGAAACTTTCTTGTGTTCTCATATGGCACAACAAATGGGGGCAAGACTTACACAATGCAAGGTGAGTAAGCACATATCTTGCTTAATTTTTTAAATAAAACAATTAGTATGAACATGAAAGTACAGATTAGATTCAGGTGATTTCACTTTGGCCAAGTGATTTCTTAATTAAAACCATTGCCATGATTAGATTTGCTTCAAGGAAAACATTGCGATTTTTGTACCCCTCCAAGATGTTTACTTAAAGGGTGGACATCAAGTCCCTAAGGGGTTTCATGGCAGTATATCTTGGGAATGGGGTGGCATAAAAATAAGTAATATGCATAATTTGAAAGGTTATCTCTGAAAATTTTTATGGCATACCATATCGTGCATCTTACACTTCCATATGTCTACCATCCTTGTCAACACATCATGTATGCAACCTTATTGTGAACATATCCAGAACTGCCTCCAATTGGACATGTGTGATGTTCCACACTACTCTTGCAATGTGTGTGTGTGAAATTCAGCCATGCTTCTTGGGTGTGTGGCATATACAATGTTCTTAACCTTAACTGCTGGACCTTTAAAGTGAGGTCATCTCTAGATTGCCAGCATTTTTCTGGGTCTGTGAATATGTGTGCAATGTTTCAGAAGAAGAATTACAATAGCAAATTCATAAGAGCTAAAAATCTGAAATGTTTAATAATTACTTGGTAGACTTTAAGGCCATGATACTGAGTTAAAAGTTTAAAGTAATTTGGATACAATAAAATTCCATACAGAATGCAAAAAAATCAGGTTTTACTTTTCTTGTACTGCATGCACACTCAGGAGTGCATTGTAGGCGTGTTTTTTTTTCCTTTTCTATGGGTGGAATATATCTGCACCACTTTCAACATCCTCACCCTCATCAGACAAGGAATCTACAAAATTTTGGCATGAAATCAATATCATTATCTGTAGCACTGAAAGTGTATCCCTCGCACATTTTGAGCACATGGTTGCAACTTGTTGGTCATCTGCAGGGGCTGGTAAACAAGGTGTAGGATTGTGGGTAACTGGAAGGGTGAAAAAATGCTAAGCACTATTATTAGCATCTAATAGTATCTGAGGAGAACCCTGGATGCCAGCAACATCACCTTTTGTGCTTATCTCTGTGTGCTTTGTGGGGTTATACAATGTGTTCCATTTAAAATGCAACCCAACAACAATCATATTCTATGGTACAAAAATGAAGTCTTGTCTTGTCTTTGAGAAGGTGGTGGACATTTTCAGCATCTGCTGTGAAGCTGTTCTGTATGTTCCTGTAATATTCTTCCTTACAAATAAAAACAATCAAACAACTTATTTGTCTTGTTTTATTGCTGTTGTACTTTGGGTTGCATTTTAAATGGAACACCATGTATATGGATGACCTTTCAAATTGACCTTAGTTGACAATGGCATTCTTAGCAGGAGTTTTTTAAATTGACTGTTGTCAATTTTGGCAGTGAATATGTGGATATGTCCCCATCCCGTCCCCCCCATTTGTTGTGCCATAGAATATGATTGTTGTTGGGTTGCATTTTAAATGGAACACATTGTATAACCCCACAAAGCACACAGAGATAAGCACAAAAGGTGATGTTGCTGGCATCCAGGATACACTTTCAGTGCTACAGATAATGATATTGATTTCATGCCAAAATTTTGTAGATTCCTTGTCTGATGAGGGTGAGGATGTTGAAAGTGGTGCAGATATATTCCACCCATAGAAAAGAAAAAAAAAAGGCCGTAGGGGTCTGGTCTAAGGAACTGTGTGTGCCTTTTTGGATGAATAGTTTCCAAACCACTTCTCATTCTGAAAACAGAGGAAAGTGGGAGGCAAGGTTGTGGATTCTGCAACATGACAACACCCAGGCCCAGCATGTATTCCCTGTGCAGCAATTTCTGACCTACCCTGGAAACCCCATGCTTCATAATCTAACTTACTCACAGGATTTTGCTCCCAGTGATTTCCTTTTATTTTCTAAACTGAAGAGTGTGTTGAAAGGAAGCAGACTTCAAGACATTCATTCAATATTACTTGTGCAACTCAAGCACCGCTGATGATTCCAAAAGATGAGTATCATCGATGCTTCCAGCAGTTGAAGAAACACCAGAAAAATTGTGTAGATGCTAAAGAGGACTACTTTGAAGGATATTACTATCAGCTGGAAAGAGTCACCACAGTGGCACAAAAAATTCAACCTCAGAACTTTGTGATCAGACCTTGTACATGGACTCCTATAGGGGAAAAGGCTGAAAGGCCTCTTTATCTCCCATTCCTCTCTGTATTTTGTCCTAAAAGCTTTTAATTTCATTGTCATCAGGAAACTGATTAATCATTTTGTTGAACTCTTACTAATATGTCTTTTTTTTTTTTAGAAGGAAGCAGCTTCAATGTTAATGATGAAGGCCTAAGAGTTTTAACCCCAGAGTCAGAAGCTCCTAGTTAGTCTTTTCAGGAAGGTACTACTTTTTTCCAGAGGTCAGATTAGGAAATATGAGAGATTTGCTTCCATTTGAGGTTGGGTTATTGTAATAGACTGAAGATAGGTGCTTTTTTGATTAAATTATTTTTCACTTTAAAGGAGGGGACTGAGTTGTGTAATCAGGCTTGATCTTTTGTGGGCTGTCATTTTGACTAAATTCTTGTTTCAGAAAGCAACCCACCTAATGGACTTCTTAATATTTTGTTGTAAAAGAGAAAGGAACCTGTAAGTGAGTGAACTGGCCTATATGTACTGGGTGGCAATATTGGTATGGATTTTTCTGTTGTAACAGGTACAGATCAGAACCCTGGACTAATTCCTCGTATTGTGGGCCATGTGTTTGAAAGCTTGAAGCATCCAGTTGCTCATGGCTTCTCCTTCAAACCTCATGCAGCCACTGGTGTGCTTCAGTTGAGCATGAAGGAGCAAGAGGAGCAAGAGAGAACAAAACGAGAAACTCTTGCTCTGGCTACTTCTGTTTCTTCTAGTCTCCTCTCTTCCTTTGTGAGTTATTAGAAGAGGCTACTTATCCATTTTCTTGAGACATATGTGATTATGTCATTACAAAGCCTTTATTGATAGAGGGAGTGTTGCTGCTGCAAACTTCACCAAATTTGTATTGCAGGTCGTAAATATAGTTAACTTGATGTCTCCATTGTATAGGAGCATGGTGGAATGGATTGAGAAGCGTTCCTGCTAGATTTCTTGATTCAGTCTTACTTCACCCAAAAATCATTATCCCTGTGCACAGCATAGCCTTTTAATCATTTTGACTTCTTCTGCCAAGCTCTTTTTATACTATTCCTTTCCCTTTCATCCTTAAGATCAATGGTGCCCAATCCATGGCCTGCAGGCAAAAAGTGGCCTACGAGGTGCTTACAAGTGGCCTGCAAAGCCCTAACCCACAATAAATACCCTTAGGTTTCTTTAAAATAGTCTCCTACATTACTAGTGACTGGCCCACGATGGGTGCAGGGGTGAGCTATATGGCCCCCTAGCTGAAAAGATTGGGCACCACTGCTTTAGGTCATTCGGGGAAAGTTTCAAAGAAAATCAAGTCTTCATATTTACATGATTGGTTATATTGTTGTGGCTTCAGATCATGGCATTATTTTCTGCTCACTTTGAAAACTGCATGAGATTGTTGCATTTTAATCAGGAATCATTGTGATCACACATTTATACCATCTGAGAGGTATGCATGATTATCAAATGAATGGTGCTAGGGCCACATGTTCCAACTGTAGCAGTTAACATATCTGATTTTTAGGCTTACTGTATAAGTCGGTTTTCAGTGTCAGGAAAAAATTAAGAATAAATCGTTTTTTAACTTTTCTATTTAATTTCTCACTTTTTATCTTCAAGTACATAATCTTCTTTCGTATGGGAATAACGACTTTTAGAAATTGATGTTAATCTTTGAAATCCAGTCAAGAGTTTTTAGTGATGCTGTGTGTATATCCTCGATACTGGCGGGAAATAAGTACAATGGGCATTCGTTGATTATGTGCTCCATTGTTTGGATTGGAGTGCCGCATTCACACATTGGCGATTGTTTAATATGCCACTTGTGCATCAGGTGTTCGGATCAACCATGAAGAGTCCGGATGCGATTTAAGGTCACCCATTTGCAGTGTGGGAGTGTGACACCTGGTATCTCAGCTGATGGATCGTCAATGAGGTTCTTATTTTTCATGTCCACATGAGACCAGGCTTCTTGCCAGTGTTCTTCCGCTCACAACCTCAGGTTGTGTAGGATTCTCATGGCAGTCCAGAAAGGGCACCTTGATTTTAGGTGGGATGGGCTGGCCTCATCAATGTTGTAGTAAATCAAGAGGGATGGGTTGGCAATAATCTTGTTGTACTCATGAACAGTCACCATGTCCCAACGGATTTCGGCAGGGGGGATGTGCGTGAGCACTGGGAGCCATGGGAGCGGAGTTGACTCTAGGCATTTGGTTACCACTCGAAGAGCAACGTTCAGCTGTGGGTTGATTGTGTCTGTGTGAGCGCTGCGGGCCCACATAGGAGCGCAGTACTCCGCGGTCAGGTAGACCAAAGCGAGTGTTGTAGTTCGGAGGGTATGTGTGTCAGATCCCCGTGTAGTGCTAGCGAGGTGCTAGATTAGGTTGACCCTTGAGGCTAGCTTATTCCTGTGTTTCTTCAGGTGTTGCTGAAATGTCAGCCTCCTATCCAGTGTTATTCCCAGATAGCGGGGGTTTGGGTCATGCTGGACACTTTGACCGCAGAACTGTGTCTTCAGCGTTCTGTTATCAGCTTCAGCTGAATCGCCAAGTGGGCCCAGCAATTCGGTTATGCCAACTAAATGTGGAGGGCCTATCTCTCTAAAGGAGAAGTTATTGTGAGGCTCATGCAGGAAAACAACATTGATGTCCAGCTCCTCTAAGAGATGCACATGCCACAAGAACACATGCAGCGGCTCCAGATTCCTGGACTTGACCTTGTATCGACCCAATGCCACCTGAAACATGGACGAACTACTTACACCAGGCCAACCATGCGGGACATCGTCAAAGACATCCCTGCACCCAAAGACAGTTATGCTATTGCTGTGTGCATCAGAAAACTGGTGGTTTATAATGTGTACAAACCATCCAACACCCAGTGGTCTTCACCACCGCTTCTGCCACCCATCCATCCAATAGTCTTCATGGGAGATTTTAACAGCCACGACAGTTTATGGGACTACCTGACCAACAATAACGCAGGAGAACAGCTTGCTGACTGGGCATCAGCAAAAAACCAACACTAGCTGTTTGATGCCAAGTGAAAACAAAGTTTCTGGTCCACCTGCTGGAAGAAAGAATATACACTGGACCTATGTTTTATATCTACTGACCAGCACAGGACACCACTACTGGCCTCAAGGACAGTACTTGACTCCTTCTCAAGGAGCCAACATGTGCCGATCGTCATCCATGTTGGCCTAGAAATCCTGTGCATTTCAAGTGCACCCACACCGAGGTGGAACCTGCAATGGGCAGATTGGCCGGGGTTCACGGAAGCAATGTGGAAGAACTGTGGACCACATCCCACCAACCCCTGAAAATTTTGACAGTTTCACGAAGTTCCTTGAAACAGCTGTGAAGAACATCCCCTGTGGCCATAGGAGCACATATACACCGGGCTGGAGCACAGAAAGTGAACTACTCCTTGGGGAGTACGAAGAGTCCGGTGACCCAGACGTATCTGGGAACCTCCTTAGGTCTCTGGATGCAGCAAGGCAACAGAGATGGATAATGGCCAAGGAGGGCCTTGACTTCACCCACTCCAGCTGCTGAGCTTGGAATGTGCTGCAATGCCTTGGTGGTGCAGCTCCCACAACAACAATCCTAAAGGTTAGCGTAGACAACATTGCTGCCCAATTGTTAACCAACTCAAAAACAACTGCAAGCCAGGCTACCAAAACTGAAAACTGCCCTGAAGGCAGTTGCTGCTTGCATCTCGACGTCAGTACTCTCAGAGCCTTTCAAAAAGGCCAAAATTGACTCTGCTCTATGCACCACCAAAACCCATAAGGCAACAGGTCAAGACAGAATTCTTTCAGAATTTTTGAAAATTCTGGAAGAAAGAGCATGCACCTTGCTCTTTCTTCCAGCCTGGCTTGTAAAACTATTCAGCAACATCCTTAACTCAGGAAAACTACCAAAAATATGGCAAAGGGCAAAGGTCATTGCCCTTCTTAAACCAGGCAAACCAGCGGACGACCCAAAGAGTTATTGGCCAATATGACTCCTCTCAACGACCTACAAGTTGCTTGAGTGGACGATGCTAACTCGGCTGGCCCCCATTCTGGAGAGTGCAATCACTCCGGAGCAGGCTGGTTTCAGGCCTGGCTGCAGTTGCTGTGATCAAGTGATAGCACTTACATCACACATTGAGGCTGGGTATCAGCACAAGAGAAAGACTGCTGCTGCATTTATAGACCTTACAGTGGCCTATGATGCTGTCTGGAGGGATGGCATCCTCTTGAAATTGAGCAACCTTGTTAGATGTGCCCCAATGGTGCACCTCATTAAAGCGATGCTCACTGACTGAAAGTTCTGTGTGCACCTTGGCAATAAAACCAGTCACCAGCACATGCTACAAAATGGTCTCCCTCAGGGCTCCATACTAGCACCAGCCCTGTTCAACCTCTACATCAGTGACATGCCCGTGACCAAGTCCCGCAAATTTGTGTATGCTGATGACCTGGCACTGGCAATGCAAGGTAGCACACTCGAGGAAACGGAAGCCACTCCAAATACCTACCTAAAGAAGATGGAAGATTACTTCTGTCAATGGCGTCTCTGTCCTGACCCGCAAAAGACTGCAGTTAGCATTCCACCTCCAAAACTCCGCCACCAACAGAACGCTTAAGTACATAATAAGCATCAAATATGGGTTAAAGTTAGTTCAGCCCATGGCAAATTGCTCTAATAGCATGCTAAAATACCATTATTTAGTGTTATTGCAGCAATAAAATTCATTTTCTCCAATTGCCGAAAAAAAGCAAAGCCAAAGAAGGAGTTGAGCAATCATAATGACTTTTTATGAACAAACTTGTATCAGTGTGTCATGAAGTAAATAGTTTTTCTGGGACATGTAATGAATATTCAAAGAGAAAACATGCAGATAAAAATTTACATTGTGCTGCATTCAATTAGAATTGGTAATTTCACAAAAACATCAGTGAAACTTTTTTTTCAGAATTTGAGTTTCAGCTATTTTTCACACAATGTCAGAAAAGAGAGTGTGTCAGTGTGTGAACCCTTGATTTTTCCTCTTCACACAATGGGACTTGCCTTTCTCAAGTTCAACTGGACCACCAGTGGCAGGCAGACTTATGGTCATTTGATGTTGTGCTAATACTAGGCTTCTGAATTGCCAATTGGATTGAAATTGTCAGAAAATCACCTTCAAATGTGACTCTATGTATATGTTCAGCTAAAATCCCCCATGGTTTCTGAAAATTTGATTACAATTTGTTGCTCAGAACCCTAGAGTGTTTGCACTCTGTCACATGAGGGAATATTAGTCTGAATCTACTTGCTCAGGCTGAAATTCAGTAGGGTGAGTTCTATTGTGTGTAGTGGATGCAACTAGAGTTCATTCACTGATGTACTTGCAATTTGTTGTTGCACAGAAAAGAAGCTGCAATGCAGATATGCAACCAATTTCGATTACTTTTTCATTAAATTGCCTACTTATATTGGATGTAATAGAGTGAATTTCTTACCTTTTTCTCCTGTGGTGTTCTGTCTGCATGTATATAAAGTTGGGAATGGTTATTTTGGGGCCCATGTGGTATTTGTAAGCATTTATATGCATTGCCTTTTCTTTTGACAACATTTTTTATGGGGGTCACATTCACTCCTTCCTAAAAGTTAATGAGCATATTATTTATGGAACTTGGAAAATATTACTGCTATTTTGGTATTTATTGATTATGTCTATTGACAGAGTAAAACTAACAAAATGAAACTGATGTATGAACTACTGACTGGATCAAAATGTTGGAGACATTAGATCCTTGATTCCTCATGTATAAGGTCATTAAAATTGAGACCAAAGTTCTGACTATACCCTGATACTATTTTCCCTTCATAACATCTGTCCTAATTTGGCTCAGGTGCTCATATTTGGCTCATTTACTAGCTCTTAAGCTCTTTCCATTTATCTTAAAGGTTGGCTAAGTACTGAATGTTTACTCGGAGTGAGAAGGACATGCTAATGACCGTTGACGAACAACTAATTTAGATTTTGGAGAGAAAAAAATTATCTGGCTTGTAAGCAAGATATGTGGTTATCAGGATGCAGCCAAAGGAATTCTAGTTTTATTTAAATAATTTCATATCTTAGGAACCAAAGGTCAATTGAACCCAATGATTTCATTTTCTGTTACTGTTACTGTTACTGCAGACATGTAAAGTTTAATTCAAGTCTTTTGCACTGTTTTGCACTAGTTTTTGCACTGTTTATTTGACATGGGATGACCCGATGATCAATAATTATCAAGTGAAGCCTCACAGGCTGAAAGTGAATGAGACTTGAAAACTGGATGAAATTTAGGCATTAGGTATGATCACACCTACCTGCATTCTTGATTTTAGGGGTAAGAGTGGTTTGCCTGTTATTCCATTTTCAGTGTGAATGAAACCCCCAAAAATGCTTGTTTCAAGAGGTCTGAAGTTTTTTTGTCATGAAAAAAGGTGTAGTATTTGACAATATAAACCAATGAGATCAAATTGATGTGCTGTCAAGTAAGTAATATGGAAGAAAGAGGAAATTCCAATACCTTGTACAGTTTGAATTTGACTAGCCATGCAAGGAGGACTGCCATTGCAAAATGCTTTTGAATGCATACTTCTTAAATGGCATGTCACACTGAAGTACTGATTAAGGCTGATCACACTTCCCTGAATAACCCAATTTGTCACTTTTTATGTTTCTCCTGTAAAATCTCTAATTTACTCAAACTCATGGCTTAACTTTCACCAGCTTATTTTTCTCTGTTGTAATTTCTTAGTTGATAACCTTTTTCTTCCCTCTTTCTTTAGTTCATGTGATTCATTCTGTGACTTTCATGCCAACTCCATGACTATGATGCTAATTCTAAATTTCTCACATGTCAGTTGTCTTCTTGCAGGAATTTTGCTGAAATGAGATTTCACTATCAAAAACATTAGGAATAATATTGATGCTCAACTGATATTCAATGTGCCAATATTAAGGTCCCAAAATTTTTATAGACTGTCATTTGCAATATTTTGTTTGTATTGAGGTGTTAACATTTGGTATATCTAAGAAATACTTCAAGGGAGCATTTTAAAATCGAGTCATCTTAAAGTCATTTGAAAGTTTATTTTTTTCTCTGAATTTTGGATCTTTGAATGCTACATGATCAATTTTCAGTATATTTGACTTGAACATGTCCATAGTGAAGCTGTCATGAACAGAGTATTTCCTTTTGTCATTTGTCACTTTTCATCAATTGTTTTGTCAGTTTTGGTCAATTGCTAATTGTTGAACTATTTTTTTTTACTTAATTCTTGCACTATTATAGCACCTGGGCCATTCTTCATGGGCCTCATTTCTTTTTTACGCTATTCTTGGAGTGGTTGTTATGGTGATTTAATATTATGGCAGTCTTTGGCCAATAATCATGATTCTGATGGTAACTTGGTTTTGTCAGACCTGCAGCACCACATCAGGAGATGGAGATGGGAATGGAGATGCTTCTCATATGCAACTGGATGATCCTTCCACTCTTGGTAAGTCAATCTTGTGTTTCACAAGCAACTAGGTCATCAAAATGTATTCATTAATTGATGTACTCATAATAGTGATGGTCAAGTCATAGCCACCAACAAGAATACTTCAGTACTATGAACAAGCTTTATATCATCCAGACCCCATACACTGATTTCAATTGAATTGGATCCTACATGGGACATTCTATGCATTTTGGCTTTTTTTTTTCCAATAAAAACCAAAAAAAAATTTTAATTGAAATCTCCTCCCATTCCCTGTTGGCCTGAGTTGTCTCAACTTTTTGCATTTTTCACACATGTGGGAGGGAACTTCTAGTAGGTTTACTGGAAATGGCTAATCCTTAGCTGTTGTGTCCTGAATTGCTTGGGACACATTTTTATTGGTGCTATATGTGCTTTCCTTGTTCAGGGAGAATATGATTTGAGCCATTAATATTCAGTCATATGGAAACAGGTACACAATTCAACTGCACTTAATGACTTCAAATTTAAAACATGAAAGCAAATTTTTCCTGCTGATCTTATGTTGCATTAAATTGTTATCATAGATACATCCCTGAAATGTCTTGTTGGTGAAAGTAGTATTTCTATTTCAAATGTCCATTCTAGCAAAGAGAAGGTACTGAGTCATTCTAAAGTTAGGAAAGAATCCATTGAAAAAGATGAAAAATGGTCTTGCTTCTAATTTGATAATGGGCATCTCACCTGTTGCTCACACTATTTATTTTCTCCAGATTCTGGTACAAGACTAAGGTAAATAAATATAGATGAAATGTCAGACAGCAGTAATTTGACCATTTACTGACCTGAAGTACACACCGGTTTAAGGTAACATATGTTGAATTGAATGGACATGACCTCTGTGTTAAGTGCACCAGACTTCAAAATCCTTCCCATTTGTGCAAATGGTCCTTAGCTGTTATTGTAGAATATCTCTATTATTATATATTGCTAAAACCATTCTCAAAGTAATTTGCACAGGTACACACATTCTTAAGCAGTCACAAAATTTAAAAAATGTAAGAAATGTTCATTTGTTGTCCCATCATTTGTGACTCAAACTCCAATCACTGGAATTATCATTTTTGGATGATTCTGAGTCTAACAGTCTTAACTAGGCCATTAATTTTGCATTGTTTGAAATTGTCCTCAAATTTCAGCTCTTGATGAGATTAATTACATTAGTCAAAATGGGATAGAAAATGCATTTAACATTCATGCCCACTTTTAGCTGAAATGACCCTACTGTTTTTTATGCCAGTGATGATAAACAATTTAATGTCCTTTAGATGTTTGAAATAAGCACACCCTTACAGGCACCTAATCTGAGGTTATATTTGGAGTTATCTTATTAAGTATAATAACATTAATATTAAATTGGGATAAAAGATAGTTACCTTCTGGTCATCCCTATTTCCATGAAAACAGTGAGACTTAGAAAAAAGAAAACTGCAAAAATCCCAGAGAAGCTTATAGTTGTATGGACTCATCCCACTTTCATTTGTCACTCATGAGAATCCTGGAAGTCAGGTAATAATTTCCATGCAGAGTTGATGATGAAGAGAGCTTGCCAAAGTTGTCATTTGCTATCAGCATGGCAAAGAGACCCAAGAAAAGACAAGGAAATTAATCTAGGAAATATGAGGCTCCATCTGAGCAGAATTGCTCATTTACCCATTTCATTGAACCATGTATGCACATGGCAACAGGTGGGATTTCCACTCCTGATGTCAATGAGTTTATACTGTACATTAGGCTGGGTGATCTTGCTGCTTTTCTTTATTGTTGACTTGATGGCTTTGTTTGTATTCTTAAGTTATATTTTGGAAGAGCAGGAGTTGTTTTTTCCTACATGAATTCTTTAATGCTTTCATTAACAAAAATTCCAATCAGATTGTTTTAATGTCAGGATCCAGATCATAGCCTGCCTATTGTTCACCCCCACTCTATAGCATTATAGAGAGGAAATTGCCTGGATATGAAGTGTCTGATAGCAGTCTGTATATCTCACAAGGAATTGGAGTGCAGCATAGCATTTGGGTCAGTTTTGTGGAGATCTACAACGAACAAATATATGATCTTCTTGTCTCTCGACCCCCTGGTGCCAAGCAGCCATCTCTGAAGCTGGGGAGGAACAGAGGAGTCACATACATCAAAGGTAACTTCCTGAATAAGTTAAGGCATCAAATCAGCCTAGTGAAAATATGTTATTGGCCATAAATTTGGCTCATATGGAGGAGATTTTTGATAGTAATAAGTATGCCCTTTTTTTTGTCGATGGAAAATGTTAGAATTGCTGTGGGAGGCAAATTGCATGCTTTTTTTCTCCCTGCTAAAGTGGGGAGAATAGGAGGAGAATTTTCAATATGTAATCAAGATGTCAACCCTGTAGGGCGCACCTTGAGCTGACTGGTACTGTTAACACATTGAGACCCAGATACCTAACACTTGTCCAACTGCTGGGAACCGGCAGTTGTAGGAAAAAATATTTTACAAGAAAATTCATAACTTACAAACTACTGTAATTGAGGAGTTCTCTGGAAAAGGGGTGTATGAGCCCATACACCCTTTTTCCATATCTGTGTCCATGCACTGCTTTAGGAGACTAGTCATAGGATAGGGTGGTCAGCAAGTAGTTAAGATGCTTATTCAGCAAAGGAGAACCAGATTTTCCTCTACTCCCACTATGTAGCAGGCCAACTGCCTGGCAATTTCAATATGGCTGCCACCATGAATATTCCATTAACACTTGCATGCTGAATGATTTTGGTGGATTTTGGTGGAATTATTATGTGTTTTTAAACTGAAATTGAAAATGAGGAAGAAACCAGACATAAGGAAAGGGAAAGATAGGGGGCCCATTAGTCATTCAAGTCTCTGGAAGGATGTGAGAAGATGGAGGTATCCATGAAATATTTGGAGATTCTGATGATGAATACATTGTTAATGGATTACTGCTGAGTCATTGGTGAATGAAACATGTCCTGTGTACTCACATTTTTTTTGCTATTCTTCGAGAAAGAGTTTTTATTTGAAATCTGTAGATGCATTTATTGGTAAATTATTATTTTTGATTGGAAAGAAGTGGTTAAAGACTCCATGGAAAAGTTTCAGCATTGCAGATATGGAGAAAGGGCATATCTGTATGAACACTTTCTGCATGCATCCCAGCAATGTGAGATAAAGAAATTCATTATAACCCCAAGTTCAATAGGTTAAAGGTCTAAGATACCATTTCACTGAAAACTGAGTTTTGACCTGCTGCAAGTTAGCTATGGGAAGTTTTTATCAATTATCTCGAATTGCATCTTTTGCACATATGCCCTTTTTCCTGAGAACTTCTCAATTAATTACATACATGTTTCAAACACCAACATGCTCAGGAATGGTCACAGAATCTGTTTAGATTTATAGGACCGGAAACACATAAAAGTTTTCCTAGAATGTAAATCTATGTTGCCAGTCCTCGATGTGTTAACACACAGTGCCAGACTCCATCACAGATGGCATTCCTATCAAGGGAATCTATATTCTCGACATTCTAACACCTTCCCAAAAGAGTTTGAAACAGATAAAACACATTTTTATGCTATCTATTGAATGCAGGGTCAACTTTATGGCCTTGCATGAATATGACCTATGTCTTATATGTCAGTTTTAAGGAGAATATTGAAGTCCAACCATGATTGTATTTCACAGTGAATGTGCTAATGAATCTATTTTTATCGTGTATATTTATATTAGACAATTTTGAGAGAGAAAAAAAACCACATGGATATGCTATGCATCGATATTTCAATTCAGAAAATGTTTGCACTGTTCCTTCTCAGATCAAGATGAAGAGGAAAAACACAAAATTTCTTCATTTTGAGTGAGTCATGACTGATAAATGTGAAGTTGTTTTTCATAAACCCTCCATATCACAGGGAAGCATATGCATAAAATTGCTGTCAGTGAAAAGGGGACATGAATTCAGAGTGGATGCTGCACATGAAGCAGATACTTTGCTGGTATAAATATATGACCCCCAAAAATGTTGGTTTCAAAATTGCTTCAACCAATTTTATGGCTCAAACCTTGAACAGAGAAATTCATGAGCTGGACTAATTAAATTTTATTCTTTGGACACTGGATATGCCAGTCTATTCATGAGGAAATGGATAGGCCAGTCCAAGGGTGTCAAACTCAAATTGGTCAACAGGCCACATTCCTCACCCTGCAGATGCCTGCAGGCTGCACCCTGTGAGGATCGTGTGCAGAAGGTACAAGGAGTCAAATTCAGGTGGATATTTCAAGAACAGACAGCAGGCTGGATGAATTACCTCTTTGGGCTGGATCTGGCCCAGGGGCTGTATGTTTGACACCCCTGGGCCAGTCTATTCGTGAGAAAAGAAACCTGGTCCTATATTCAGATCAAACTGGTATGCACCTTTAGGTTTTCCTGGAAATTTGCAGAACAAGAAGCTGATGTATCTTGATGATACTCAGCGGAATGTTTCACTTGTGTTAAATGAGTTTTCTTACTACATGGTAAAGAAGGGTTGACCCAATTTTTTTGACTGTCTCTCAGATGTATTACTTCTCATGTAGTAGTTGAAGGAAGAGTAATAAAAAAGGAAGTTTAACAGTTCCCCATGGATGAAATACTGCTCTTGTAGAAATCCAGGTTGTTTTATGCATTGTTGTCTTTTTCTTATTCTGTGTATTCTTTCTATTATTCATTGGAAAAAAATTTTTCATTATTATTTCTTCCTCAACTTTTATTTTAGGTGTGAGGGAGGTGTGTGTTCATTCAATGGAGGAAGCAATGAGACTTTTTCTTATTGGCAGTCAGAATTTGCGATTTGCTTCCACCAAGATAAACCCCCATTCAAGTCGATCTCACTCCTTATTTCGTATCCAGATCTTGACTGTCAAGGCATTTCACCATCCACCAGATGTACAAATATCAACGTGAGTGGTTTTCTTTGTATCTATAATTACCTTAGGAATAAGAAGATGAAATTCTGTTCTTCTGAAACTGAGCAAGTTTCTGAAGGACTGTTTTGTGCAGCTTGATAGATAGACAGACATAGTAGATTCAAGATTCTAATTTGTTCATGGATGTGTTTGTGAAAATTTCAAGATTGCTATGGTGTTCCTGTGGCAAAGGAGTGTGTGATTAACATGAAAATGACACATTCAGTGTAAGGAAAGAAACAAGGAAGGCTTTTTAATGGTTGGATAATGTGTTGAATTGCAGGATCCAGTTCATTGACTTAGCAGGATCAGAGAGAGCAGAGAAGACAGAAAATGTTGGTGATCGTCTTGCAGAAGCAAGCTCTGTCAATAAGGGCCTTTTGGCCCTTGGCAATGTCCTCCGTTCCTTCAAGTAGGTGGATTGACTCTCCTAAGTTCCTAATCATGTCTTCTTCCTCCTCCTTTACCAGCAACTTGTGACTGGCAGAGGCAAAAAACATTCTTAGTTTGATTTTATTGCAGGAACCAGGAGGTGAATCCAAAAACTCTTGTGCCTTTTCGCAACTCTCGTTTGACAGAGATCCTGGAGAACTTTTTATCAACCCAGAGAGAGAACACAAAAGTTACAATGGTTCTCAACATATCTCCAGATGTCTATCTCTTTGATGAAACTCACCATGCTCTCAAGTTTGGAGCCCTTGCAAAGAGTGTGAGTAATGTGACTATAGATTGAGCATGAAAAAACATCTTAGTAGTACTTGGATTGAAATGAGGGAGGTTGGGATCAGACTGGAAAGTGATGCTGACCAAGTCAGGTGATTTTTTAAATGTTATTCTTGTTTCGAGTGTAGTTCTGACAGCTGATTTCCAGCTTAGAAATGATTGGATAATGAGAGGAGTGGGTAGGCAAAATCAGACAAGTTCACCTCATTTTGACTGTAATATTTCATCTTGTTTGGGACTCTACCCATAACTGCAGCTCAGCATCATTGAGAATTTTGCTTTTTTTTTTTAAACCAGCAGAATGCAGTCAGCAAAAAATCTCATAATCAGTAAACCTGAATGACAGGGAAATTCCATGCTTAAATGCTTCAATTTATATAGTAATTACTTACAAAGACAGAAGATGGAGAAAAAACGACACTGAAAATCTCATGGTCAGCAGGAGTGTTTGCAGGGAGATAATGAAACATGTTGTTGATTTTTACTTGAATTCCTTAATTCTCAAATTAATGTATTGCACACAGGTGAAAACTACTCATGTCCGGGGTCCAGAAAGAATCGCCAACTCCAAATTTGGATTGTTTGTGCGCCGCTCTCTGGTGGCAATTGAAAACCAGATTCCTCAGCAGCAAAGATCTGTCCCTTTCAATGGTATGTCTTTAAAGCTTCAATGTCTTTGCTTTCACCTTACAGAAGGGACACTCTGGGTATCATGATGTGGCAGCATTTGGGTGACTTTTTTGTATGAGAGGAAGCAAGTTTAAAAAAGATAGTTGGTTAGACTATTCATTTGTACTTTTTGGAACTGTATTCACTCAATCCAGTTGCAAGCTTTAGATATTCGTCTAGAAAAATTTTAGATAGAAATTATTTAACATTAATTCTTTGTTCAGAGCTGCTTCAGTCCATGTTTTAACTTCAAATCTATTAATGCAAAGCTTCTGTTTATGGCAGGATCTTTACTTATGGGCCTTTTGATAGCAAAGTTTCTGTAGAAGAAACCCAGGCACTGGGCCCAGGCACTTGCATGAGTCCAGCAAACTGCGACTGACAAATGGTGCTGTTGACAATGAGAATACTTAGAAATGCAGATGGAGGGGGAAGTGAGTGTGGAACCACACTATGTGACTTCCTAGTGTAGCCTGAGTTTTTAAAGTATTTTTTGTTACCCCTTCACTTTCAGACATGTCTAAAATTTTCCCTGAACTCTTGCCCCATGTTTACCTTTCTCAGTACAATCTTTTAGCAAGTGACCTCCATAGGCTTAAAGACTGTTTCACCCTCTGCATCTCTTCATGCATATACTTATTGCCAAAAAAAAAAGCATGACCAAGAAGGAGTGGAAGAGATGAAGGGTATTTGAGATTCTTAGCCAGCATCAACTTGATGCATGCATCCCAATTTGCTTACATCTATCAAACACTTCAGAAACTTGTTGAAATTGCCTCCTATGATTTCATCTTGGCACTATCACACAGTTAGGCTTTCATCAATGGCCCAATAGTGAAGTGGGCTGATGGGAAGAGAAGAGGAAACTGGTGCCTTCAATTGTGCTGCCCTCTTCTCCCATTCCTCGGACTTTTGGCAAATTTTCTCTGTACTACTTCATCCCATGACCTTAAAACTTTGTTACATGTCTTTTCGAATTCTCCTGCCACATTTAATTAATAAAATTATTGGCAACCATTTGGGGCAATTTGTTTGATGCCATAGCCACTATTGGAATTGTAGTGTTAGGCAGATTTTCTTTGTGAATGTTCATCCCACAGCCAGAAACTCTAATTGTTTTCTTGGTGCATTTGTATAAACTTTTGTACCAGATTTAATCATGATCACTCCATTAATTCTTGACCATTATTTTTTTTTAGCAATGTATATGTTTGCAAGGGGGCATGTGCAACAGGTGTACATGCATGTCCACACATATTCTCAGGCAAAGAGCAAACACAATGTAAAGGCTATTTAGTGCCTTGCCTATTCATATTCAATGTGTTTGTACCTGCATCTCCATGTATGCTGAAAGAACACTCATTGTGTGAATTACAATAAATATGAGGGTTGTTCTAAAAGTCTAGTGAAAGTTATGCATGCCATAATGCCATAAGGTGATTTTTTATTCCCTTTTTTTCTTTAGGATTTAATAAGTTCCAGTGAATTTTTACATACTTTTTTGCTCAGCATGACTGACCAAAAATTTGTGAAAGTATGAGCCCTCTTTCCCTTCTGTGAGTTTCATGTAATGGTTTTCTGGAGTTTCAAGCTCAGAGAAAATGTGTCAAAATGCCATGGAAGGCTTGTTTAAGCCTTTTACACTGGAGCCACATCTAAAAAGTTTGTTTATGTGCAGTTTTTGTGCTTCCTCTGTGGTCAGACTGATCTTGATGATGCCCCTCGTGAGGGGCTTACACAAATTACTGTCATTGATGCAAATGTAGAGAAAGTCAATTGTCTAATTGAAGATGACCCAAGGGTAATCTCCCTTGCCCTTGAAGAGAATGCCCTTGACATTTGAGTGGCAGAATGTAAAAAATTTTTGGACAAACATTTGAAAACTATAAAAAATCGTAATCTACTGGGTCCCAAAAAAAAAAACTGACAGTGAGAAATAGCTGAGACTGAATTCCTGAAAAATTATGCTCTAAAATTCTACCTGAGGTGCTCAAGATGTTTCTCTGTGATCCTAACTGATAATGAGACATGGCTCTATAACTAAGACCTGCCAACTGAAAAAGTTGAATCAAAGCCTTTCTTGCCACTCAGACTCAGTTTTGCAAGCCCTCCCCCCTCAGAAGGGGGGGGGGCTTGCATAATTGCACATTTTGGTCACTCATACTAGGCAAAAAATTATACAGAAATTCAATGGAACTTCCAAAATCTTTTGGAAAAAAAGTATAAAAAAAAAGCTTCTGGCATTATAACATATATGACTTTCACATTACTTACAGAACAAACCTCATACGTGGGGAGGTCGGAAAGTTCACGGATTTTCACATTTTTCAGCGCCATTGAGTGATGAGTGATTGTGGCCCATTCAATTGATATCTCTTGAGCCCTTTCAACATTTTTTTTAATTTTTAATACCGTACAGAAAGATGGAGACCCATCAGAAGCGAGACGGTGCTGTGAATGTTTGCGAGACTGTGAAATTTTCGGCGGGAACAAAAACGAGTGATCCTCCTCTACCATTTTCGGAGCGGTTTGAAACCACAACAGGCGTTTGAAGAGATGAAGAAGAACATCGGGGATGATGCTCCAGGCAGGACCATGGTCTTCAAGTGGTTTCAACGATTCGAAGCTGGTCATTTCGAAGTCACCGATGATCCACAAAGTGGGCGTCCAAGAACTTCGACAGACGACGGAATGGTTGCTGCCGTGGCAAAATTCCTGGAAGAAGAACCCTCTGCGACCACAAAATGACTTGCCGACGTCTTTCAAGTCTCAAAAATGTCGATTTCGTCCATTCTTCATGACCAACTTGACTACTGAAAGAAATCTGCTCATTGGGTTCCACGTCTTCTGAAACCGGAGGAGAAGGAGGCTTGGGTGAACTTCTGCAAGAAGTTCCTGGAGGATTTTGAAGACGGAAATTCGCCAAACTTCAGGAAGATAATCACTGGATATGAAGCCTGGTTTTACGTGTAAAACCAGGTTTTTGGAAGTTTAGCGAACTGCTCCGAAAATGGTAGAGGAGGATCACTCGTTTTTGTTCCGCCGAAAATTTCACAGTCTCGCAAACATTCACATGCATCTTGCTTCTGACGGGTCTCCATCTTTCTGTACGGTATTAAAAATTCTAAAAAAATGTTGAAAGGGCTCAAGAGATATCAATTGAATGGGCCACAATCACTCATCACTCATTGGCGTCGAAAAATGTGAAAATCCGCTAACTTTCCGACCTCCCCACGTACTTATTCAAGTACTTGGAGATTGACTTAAAAATTATATAAAATGAATATGAGTATCTATGTACTTCATCCCAGTGATTTCCATCCATGCATTTGCTTTCTCGTTCTGGTCATGACTGTGTCTAGTCAAATGGATACAGTATTTCTTTGCGCTGGGTATCAGTCATCTCCAAAAGCTTTCCCTCTAACTGGCTTTCATGCATACATCTTGAAATGAACTGGTCCCAATTCTTGAATGCTTGTGGCATCCATATTCACATGTGTAATTGCCTACCTACTTATACAATCCAACACCTAGATGCAAGGCACCCAAGGTGTGAAATGGATTTTACTCATATCCAATGAATATCCACTTGAAATCCATGTTGGATGTAGAAGTCTCATCACACAAGCCTTCAGTCCTGGTTTCCAGCATTGTGAAAACAGTGGATATATAGAGAAACAGAGGAATTTTTTTTATTTTATAGAATGCATTCTCTTAGAATATATGGATCTGAAGTACATCAGTCTTTCCAGTTATGCACACCAAAAAAACTTGAAAGAGGAAAGTTCTCTCTTTTTCATTTAGTGGTGGCAGCTACAATACCTGAAATGGAGGGAGATTCCTTTGAAGATGTTGAGAAAGAAGAGCTACGGAAACAAGTTAGTCTTTCTTCACCTTTCTTCATCTCTATCGTCTACCCAGGATGGGGTTAAAACTTACTGAACAAAATGAAGCTAGTGTTATGAAAATGATCTCAGAATTCTTTTTCATATGACATGAAATGTAGATTTTAATTGCTACCACCAGGGAGGAATGATAGTGAAATATCATATAATTAGCAGAAAATGAAAAGTTTAACATGGATGTGATGATCGAAACAAAAGTAAGCTTATATCATAGAACTTAGGCATTGAAGGACTTATTGCACTGCCATTTGTTATTTTTCTGTTGACCCCTCCAAAAGATCAAGGAATCAAAAATTTGATAAAATTTACCAGAGTTTTGAAAATTTTTATTATTATCCATTGTCATTCATAAGAGGCTAATCTATCTGTGTCATTCTGGGAACTCCTCCTAGGCGGATGAATAGATTTTCATGAGTGAGGTGTTAATTGAAAGCTTATGACATGGAGGTGTACATAAATTGGGTCAAAAGTCCAAAAAGTCTTCCCATTTTAATGTATTAGGACCAAATTTAGATGATAAGAATAACATAAGGCATAAAAATGCCTTCCTGAGAGAAGGCTTACAACCAACAGTGAGAGTACAAGGCACTGTTGGCTAGCATTCAGTTAGTGCTGCTCTATGTCTATTTTGAATTTTGGTGTTAATGTCAAAATGCCATGAAAAGGCAGGGAAGTTTAAACTATTCTTTGGCTACTGTATGATATACTGAATGTAAGAGAAAGAGAGGCGTTCTGGAGTCTCAGTCAGCCTATGAAAGAGCAGAAAGACATGCACAAAATGCTGCTTCACAGGCTGCTTGCAAAGCCAATGAAATTGATGAAAAAGAGACCCAAAAGGCTGGCTTGAAATGCTTTTATAAAAATTATTTCACCCTGTGCATCTACGGGCTTTTACACTTGTGCATATATAAAGCCTTGCATTATACCTGCTTTATATTACATCATATCTTTGATATGCATCATTACATACATTTTTTAGTTTTATTAGTTTTTATGTTATGAAAATTCCCTGAAGTACTTGGAAACTGAAACCCTTGACCTGTGGAGTTTTATACAGATGGCAAGTGTTCTGGACTGGGGTATACTGCATCATTGATGCCATTTCACTC